TAAATTGTCAGTTGTAGCCATTCAAAGAAAAGACTCCTTTAAATCAGAGATTGAAAATAAGGTGCAATCACACATGAAATAATATGTAGAAGCAAGTTTATATTAAAAAAGTCCCATTTGCAAGATATTATTTATATTAGGTTTGGATGAAAAATAGTATTACATCAGGCGTAGCGCTGGTGGTGTACGGGTTAACCATATATAGAGGCTGCAGTCCTCGAAGCGGTCGTCCCGCGTTCGACTCCCGGACCCGGAGACCTTTCCCCTCCCTCCCCCTCTATATCCTGTCTGTTGAGTGTCGGAAAAATTGAAAAATAAAGGCCTCTAGTGCTGCAAAAAAATAAAACATTTAAAATAAAAGAAAAATAGTATTGCATCAGCACGTTGCAGAGTTTTCCTATGAAGGAGAATGCAGAATGTTCTACCCAGTATCAGAATGACGAATCTGGGAAGCTTTCCTGGCATTAGTCAAATCTTTTGACGCGATGATGTGGCTCCTGCAACAGATATCTGTTCAGTTTCGTGTGGGTTGGGCTGTCAGCCTCTCTTTAGCACATCTCCACCTAACTACTGCACAGCTAGAAGATGGAAATGTGAAACTGTCCTATCCAAGCCACCACAATGAGTGTTTAATCTCAGATAAAATGATGACGTAGCAGATACCAACACAAATGCTTTTTTAAAAGTCAACGCAATAGCAGACAGGCCCACTTTCTGTTCAGGTATACCTGAGTGTTTTGACCACAGACCAGCTCTCTTTGTTGAGCTGAGTATCTTCTTCATCCTGAAACACAGCGGTCTGCTCGGACTCCTTAGAGTCGTTGAGCTTCCACAAAAGAATTGCAGCATCTGTATGTAAAAAACACAGACATGTCTCAACTAGTGTATTTACAGAAGAACAAATCAAGAGCAGTTTAATTTATGGGACTTACCATCGCCCCCTGAAGCGAGCAGCTCTCCATTAGGGCTAAAGCGAACTACATTGACAGCCTTGGTATGCCTGGCCAGGTTAGACAAGAACTCCACCACGGCCTTCCCGTCTGGACCTTGTTCCACCCGCCACAGCTGCACAAAAAATTGGGAAAAAATGGGCGCTGAAAACCTGCTGCTAACTGGCTCAGCCACAAACACCGTGATCTAACAGCAGGTTTGTCACCAACATTCACAGCTTCCCCCTTTGAAAGCTGAGGCAACATAGTCACAGGACTGAGGATCTGAGATCATGGGTGCAGTGTGGTGGATACTACGAGGTGGTGGATACATCACTGCCTTGGCTTTTGAAGGATGGAAAGAAAGAAGGCAATAAGGGAAGAAGGAAACAAGGAAGGATAATATTTATACAACTGAAATCTAGATTAGTTTTACTGATCCTGTTTTTGTTTTCCATTCTTATGCTGGACCTGGAAAATAGTGAAATCCAGTTCCATACTTTTCCGGAACCCCTCTGGACTGGGGAGAAACCATGAGCTGTGAGTGGCTCCCAGTTTGGCTCCAATCTCTGGATTTGTACTTAGTCAGCAACGCTGCATAAAACCAACCAGAGTTTTGTAAAAGGAAGCATAGCCACAATATTCCTAATTTTTGATATATTTCTTTCGTTCCTTTTACCCATATAGCAGAACCAGGACATTCGGTCAGACAAACCAATGTTTGATTTGTTTTTACAAAGATGAGTACAACCTTTGAAACTCAGTGTGCTAAAGTTTGCAAGCACATTCACACCAAGAATGTGATATGATACTTTTCTAATTCTTCCATGGTTGCCTTTTCTAGCTCAAGCGAAGAGCTGAGTAAATCAAAAACAAAGGAAATATGTTTGTATCTCAACTTCATAATGTTTAGGTTAACAATCTATGTTGAAACTATGATTTAAAGTAAGAAAAACAATCTTTTGGCTGTAAAAAAAAACAATTATAAGTCAATTATTTGACGAACACTCACTGAAAATGTCTTGGAAAGTTCTAACAAACTATAGAAAAAAGGTATTTTGTGATTATTCAAGCTTCTCAGCATGATGCTTCCACCACCGTATTTTAAAGCAGAGGTCGTGTGTTCTAGTTGATGTTCATTAATTAATGAATTGATTGATTATTAATTAACATACATGATCTGGGCATCCTTTAAGATATATTGTACTGCTCTTTTACATAAAACTATTTATTTAAATATACAACTCATTGAAGATTTAGCTCGTCAGCCTTTAACACTGACTAGTATGCAGATGTTTCCTCTCCACTCACTCTGACTGTGGTGTCCACTCCAGCTGTGGCCAGCCGATGGAAACGTCCCTCCGTGCTGCTGTGCTGCAAGTCCAGACTGTACACCGGCTCCTTGTTGTGCCAGGCAATTTCACACGTCACCACCTTCATTTTCCCCCCTTTAGAGAGCAAAACATTTAACGTATGGGGAGCTAACGGAGGTTTATATGTCTTTTAATTAAGTGTAAATAATTAAAAATTGCTCCCGTGAACAGCGAAGGTGGTCCCTGCGTTATAAATCACACCAGATCTTTTGAAACGTTTTATGTTACCACCTACTTCAACCGAATGCTACTGTTAGCTCTTAATGTTAGCAACAACCTGAGCGGGTGCTCGTTTGTTTTCACACAAAAACCAGACAACAGCTACACGAATGTGTTTATCAAAATGTTACCGGAAGCTCTCAAGAATACTGTTACATACATATACCTGCGCTTTCTTTCTAAGTAACGTACTAACATTGAGGGAAGTTGACTTGTTTTTTTTTTTTTTTACCTTCCCTGTCGTTCAGCAGCAGATGTCTTGACTATTTCCCGCGTTCGTTTCGCTCAAAACTTCCGGGCAAGGGGGGCATTTTGATTGGACGAAAGAGTAGAAGGGGCGGAGTTGGTTCGCAGAGTTTGATTGAGGGTACATTCCTCAACAGTGAGCCGGGAGGTGATCCGGGTGAATGGAGAAGAAGACGAAGGTGGAGTTTTTTTGTTTTTTTTTTGCATGAAATCGAGAGCAATTCTTTTTTCCCGACGGAAGGGAGTCCCGGATCTCCAATTAAAGCTAATCTTAGGACCAGCTTAATAAAGCAATAACAAAAAAAAAAAAAATTATTATTTCAACTTCCAGAAATCATCAGACTCCCTTACAATATATATATATTTTTTATCTTGGTAGCCAAACAACCCTATCGTGTTTATATCAGTCACATTATCAGAGTGGGTAATTTAGCCTTTGGCTCTGAAGCATCCAGAGTAGCCTATGATTTGACTGCACTGTCTGATCTTACCACCCGGCGTACCTATTGCCTCTCCGGAGGAGAAATGGTGCGTACCCATTTCTTATTCCCCACCCGCTCTGTGGGATTCATTCACATTATTAGTGTTAGATTGTGTGCATTGTTTGTCTTATGTCTGTTAATGTTCAGCAAATACGATTATATTGCGTATTTCTACTGTTTATTTGTTATTATACCACTTGAGAAACACCACAAATTGGAGCCAAATTGTGCTAATTTTAACCATAATATATTTTCACTTATTTTTAACTATTAAACATCATTCTAAAAAATGACAATGCAATTGATCAAATTTTCCCCACGAGAAGACAGGGTGAATAGGAACCCTCTTGTCCAGATGGGACATTTTTCTCCGGGTATACACGATTGACTCCTGGCAGAAGTGGAGGATTGTGCGTCTATTGATATTGTCAGTCGAGGATGTGGAAGATGTGTACACAATTGGATGTTTGATAACAGGATTTCTGCTTTTTGGAGTTGGTGGTTACCTGGCATATCGAGAAATTCGAAAAACCTCGGCAGCTGTTCTGGCCATTGTGAGGCTGCCTGGCATGTAAGATGGGATCTGCAGAGCGATCAACACTCAGACTGAGATGTTACGTGAACTGAATCGCAGGCTGGATGTGATCCTTACACAGGACCGCAGGCAGGTTGCGGTTCCTGGACTCAGGGGCGAAATGGGATAAATCTTGAAGAAAGTTGTTCGCTCGGATCTGGTGGAAAGGAGCTGGAATTTGGCTGTTTGGATTCACCATTGAGAAGCACCAGCGAGACTCTCAAGGCTGATGGAAAATTAAGAGTCAGCCTAACCCAAATAATTGTTTTTCTGAATCTGGCTCCCCTGCACGGCCTTGATGGCTGGCTATCTTCAACTTCTCCTGGAAGTTATGTAAACATGACGCTCTGCTCCCTCCCTTCCCTGAGGACATCTGTGGACCTGCTCAGAACTGTGTGGCCGGTTGATGAACATTATCAAGGACAGTGCTTCATGGACTTACTTTGCACACACTCACATGCACACACACACACACATGCTCAAGATAAACATACGCACCCCTTCACACCGCCCTCACCGGATCCCCTGCATGATGTTGTCTCATATATATGTTGTTTCTTTGTGCTGAGGTTTTTTTTTTGCAATCTCAAACTGTATCCTGCCAAGGAAAAAGTGTGAAATATGTTTTTTTTCCCCTCTTCTTTCCTAATGTGGTCTCTTTTCTCATCTACCTAAATGTGTGATTTCATTACTTTTCATAGATTTTCAGATTTCTCAGAAGGATTACCAGTAAAAGCCAAATATTATTATTAGTATTTAAAAATTTGGACTAAAGCTGTTTTTACATCAATGACCAGAGAAATTTAGATTTCTTAAAAGGATTGTATTGCAACTATATCATACCGTTGACAGCCAAACATTATTAGTATTTAAAAAGTTTGGACTAAAACTGTTTTATACCAGTCAGTCAGTCATTTTCTACCGCTTATTCCATAGTGGGTCACGGGGAAGCTGGTGCCTATCTCCAACAGTCTATGGGCGAGAGGCGGGGTTCACCCTGGACAGATCACCAGTCCATCGCAGGGCAACACACATACAACCATGCACACACTCAGTCATACACCTAAGGGTAATTTAGAGTGACCAATTAACCTAACAGGCATGTCTTTGGACTGTGGGAGGAAGCCGGAGTACCCGGTGAGAACCCACGCATGCACGGGGAGAACATGCAAACTCCATGCAGAAAGACCCCCAGCTGGGAATTGAACCCAGGACCTTCGTGCTACCGACTGCGCCACCGTGCAGCCCGTTTTATACCAGTGACCCAGCTTATTAGAATGATGGGTCCACAACTGCATCATACCAGCGAGCTCAAGGATGAATTCCTTACCA